CTCACCTGCAGGGACTCCTGGAAGGAGCTGGCCTGGTACTGGGCGTACTTGGCGATGGTGGTGTGCGAGCGGCTGCTCTCGCAGGGCCACACCTGCCGCGTGCCCGACAGGTCCCAGTTCTGGTCCGAGGGCTGCTGCACCTGCGTGCGCACCTCGACCGCGTGCTCGCCGCTGGCCTCCACCAGGGTCTTGGTGCTGAACAGCCCCAGGTCTGCAGAAACGGCGGGGTTTGGGGCGTTTTGGGGGGTTTGGGGTGTTTTGGGGGGTTTGGGGTGTTTTGAGGTTTGGGGCGTTTTGGGGGATTTGGGGTGTTTTGGGGGGTTTGGGGCATTTCAGGGTTTGGATCATTCTGGGGTTTGGGTTATTTTTGGGTTATTTTAGGGGGGCTTTGGTTAATTTTGGGGGTTTTGGGGTGATTTGGGTTATTTTTGGGGCTCACTGAGGCGCAGGGACCCCGCCAGCCCCCGGATGACCGTGATGGGGGGATTGGGGTGATTTTTGGGGTGGTTTTGGGGTGGTTTTTGGGGTTTTGGGGGGTTTTGGGGATTTTTGGGGTGATTTTTGGGGTTTTGGTGATTTTGGGGGTTTTGCGGGATTTTTGGGGTGATTTTTGGGGTGGTTTTGGGGGTTTTTGGCTCACTGAGGCGCAGGGACCCCGCCAGCCCCCGGATGACGGTGATGGGGGGATTGGGGTGATTTTTGGGGTGGTTTTGGAGTGTGTTTTGGTGATTTTGGGGTTTTTGGGGATTTTTGGGGTGATTTTTGGGGCGGTTTTGGGGGTTTTTGGCTCACTGAGGCGCAGGGACCCCGCCAGCCCCCGGATGACGGTGATGGGGTTCTTGGGGTCGGTGCAGAACTGCAGCAGCACCGGCGAGAAGGCGTCGCGTTTGCTCTCCAGCTGGGCGGGAAGAGCGGCGGCCAATCAGAGACCGGCATCCGACACACGGACCAATCACAGCCCGCCACCCTCGGGCACGGACCAATCAGCACCCCGCACCCAAAGCAAGGACCAATCACAGCGCAGGGCCCAATCACAGCATGCCATGACCCACCCAACGACCAGGTCAGCGGCCAATCAGGATGGAGATGGTTTAAGGCATCAGCCAATCAGAATGGAGATGGTTTAAGGCATCAGCCAATCAGAATGGAGATGGCCTGGTTCACCATTCACCAGCCAATAAGGATTCAGGTAGCCCAACCAACCAATCAGGACTTTGCTTGTTTGGCTCATCACCAGCCAATCAGGATTGAAAGGCTATGAGCTGACGGCCAATCAGCAGCAAGATTCGCTGGGAAACTCTGCCCCCACCCACTGGCCAATCCGCAGGAGGGAGGCCCCACCCAGCAGCCAATCAGGAGAGGCTCCACTCCCGTTGGCCAATCAAGGATGCTCTGGCAGATCCATCCCCTCATGACAGCCAATCAACAAAGAGCTGCCCATGATGGGCCAATCAGGATGGGAGGGATCCAGCCAGGGGCCAATCGGCAGAAAGAGGGAATCTGCCAGGAAGCCAATCAGCAGCAAGGATGCCCACCAGCCAATCAGGAGAGGGGACACCCTGGGATCCCCGGCAGGGAGCCAATCAGCAGTCAGGGCACCCTGCCAAAGAGCCAACCAGGAAGGAGGACCCTTCCCACCAGCCAATGAGCAGAGAGGACACCCTGGGACCTTCCACAGGGAGCCAATCAGCAACCAAGGAACACAGCCAGGGAGCCAATTAGCAGCCAGGGGACCCATTGTGGGAACCAATCAGCAGCCAGGGGACCCATGGGGGGAGCCAATCAGCAGCCAGGTGACCCATTAAGGGAGCCAATCAGCAGCCAGGGGACCCATTGTGGGAGCCAATCAGCGGGCGGGGGCGGCGGCGGCAGCCAATGGGGACTCACGTAGATGCTGGGCGTGGGCGGGTTGAGCTTGTCCCGCGGGAGCTGCTCCCGCGCGTCGATGCGCGGCTTCACCGACTGCGCGGGGCACAGGTAGGACTCGCGGAACGGCCCCTTCAGCCGCGCCTGCCTGCGGGGCGGCGCCGGTGGGACCCCGGAACGGCCCGGCGCCCCCGGAGCCGCGCCAGGATTCATCCCAGAATCACCCCAGAACCGCCCCAAAATCCCCCGGAGCCGCGCCAGGATTCACCCCAAAATTCATCCCAGAACTGCCCCAGAATTCACCCAAAATCCCCCCAGAATTCACCCAAAATTCTCCCAGAGCCGCCCCAAAATTCACCCCAAAATTCATCCCAGACCTGCCCCAGAATTCACCCAAAATCCCCCCAGAATTCACCCAAAATTCACCCAGAGCCGCCCCAAAATTCACCCCAAAATTCATCCCAGACCTGCCCCAGAATTCATCTCAGAATCACCCCAGAACCGCCCCAAAATCCCCCGGAGCCGCCCCAGGATTCACCCCAAAATTCATCCCAGAACTGCCCCAGAATTCACCCAAAATCCCCCCAGAATTCACCCAAAATTCATCCCAGAACTGCCCCAGGATTCACCCAGAGCCGCCCCAGAATTCAGCCAGAGACGCCCCAAAATTCACCCCAAAATTCATCCCAGAATCCCCCCAAAATCACCTTAAAATACACCCAGAATCACCCTAAAATCCCGCCCAAAATTCCCCCAGAACCGCCCCAAAATTCACCCCAAAATCCCTTCAGAATTTCCCAAAATTCTTCCCAGAATCACTCCAAAATTCACCTCAAAATCCCCCCAAAATCACCCCAAAATTGCCCCAAAATTCATTCCAGAATCACTCCAAAATTCACCTCAAAATCCCCCAAACCTCAGTGGGCCCCCAAAGAC